ACCCGTCTTCGCCAATCGGATTTCTCCTCAGTCCCTTGTCCAGCTTCCAAACTCCTACCCTCATTGCTTCTGATATCTTCTTCCATCTGATCCCACCCAAGATCTTCAACCTCAGGTAACGATGGCTGTGTCGAAATCACCGAGATATCACTGTCCTTAGACGACACCTCTCTGCTCTCTGCCTTCTCCTCCTCACTACCTTTCCCGTCTTTCTCGGCTTCATTTTCTTCTTCGATGACTAAAGATTTCGCCAACGAAGACTCCCCACCACCGGTGGTTTCATCTCCCTCCTCGTCATCGAGATCCCAACTCAAATCTTCGTCTTCTTCACCGGAAATAGCTCTCTTAACAAGCTTAACTCTAGCCTCTTCCGCTTGCTCAAGCTTATACACTTTATAAAAATACCTCCTCCAGAAACTCTCACCGTCAACTTCCACAGGCACAATCGCCTCGTAAATCTCTTTCACAGATTTGTTTTCATTGATTAATTCAACAATCTCACTTCCTTTCTCCTCAAACTTAAACCCTAAAACCCAATTCTCAAAATCCTTTAAATCATCAGGTTCTCTAACATAAGTTCCTTTATCAGATTGTATCGCAAGCAACTGCATCTCGAATCGACTATACGGTTTCACACACTGATGATTGTTGTTGCTACGATTACCAGATGATGATGATGATTCGTGATCGGAGGAAGAAGAAGATAAGAGAGATTCCTTACCGTGAGAAATGATCTTAGCCGTTGATTTCCAAACGGTGGCTCCGATATCGTCGATGGCTTGACCGACGGATTCGAGAGAGTCTTGAGCGATTTCGAGAGAGTCAGGTAAATCTTTGACGGCACGAGAAGCTACTTGTCGGATTACGGAGGTTTCTTTCTTCAATTCGGATCCGAATTCTTCGAAATCGCGACGGTAAGATCCGATCACGGACTCGGATTTGGTCGTAAGTGTTTTGATCAGATCGCCGAAACTCCATGGAGAAGAAGGTGAGGGATCATCGGCGATTGGGGAATCCGGTGGTGAATCGGAACCGGAATCGGAGAGAAGAGATTTGAAGAGATTCATCTTTGTGATTTTGAGGATTGGGAAGGAAGCTAGGGTTTCGAAGAGATTGAAATTTCAGAAATTTTCAGGTTCCATGAATCCGATCTCCGAGTTATGGAAGAAACCGATGTCGGTGGCGTGTGTCTTGTAAGAAATGACAAACTATACTATTATATTCTACGTCCATTTAAAACTAATAATTTACATAATATAGCGTAAATATTCTGGAAATTAAGATTTAGTCAAATATGTTTATGTCAACTCAAAATTAAAATTGTGCTAAAATTCTTCTCAATCTCATGTAACCTTACTTTACTAATGCACATAAATAGTCGAAACACGTAAACCCCATATCAAAAATCAGATGAAACATTACACATGAGACATGAATTAGTCCACTCACTGATAATTCAAAAGTTGGTAATGATCTCAAGTTCTTCACATAAACGACCGAGTATGATTGAAACAGTTTGTGTTATTTTAAATTATGACTTAGTAATACACACATTCGGCTGTAAAAAAAAAACTTCAAGTTTTAGATTTTAGTTTTGCAAACATAACGAAGAGAGTAACACTACTCAACAGACTTAAGAGTCGCACATGTATGCAACAAAAGAATGTTGCAATCTTGTTCATTTTCATTAACAATGATTTTCTTTTTACTGATTTCCAAATTCTCACTAAATGTAAAGACCACAAAATACATTAAGCTAACCCTACATACTAGAGAGTGAGAAACAAAAAAAAGGATCCTAAAGCTCTAATAATATATACACACCACAAAATGGGGGAAGCAAAAAGTGGGTGTAGCAAACTTCTGTACAATACTTAACCTCTCTACAACTGTTTCTACTCTTCCAAAACCAAAAGAAAGAGACTTGCCACTATTATAGTTGGCTCATTAGATACCTTCACTGTGTCGAAAAAGACGCAAATTACCAGAGCAGGAATCATCCGCACCTTCTCCCACCACCTGCGCTGCCTTGTCTGAATTAGCAAATTTCCATCTGCAAAGTTAAGCATACGCTTGTCTCAGTTGGTTTCTCTTAAACTAATGAACGTTCTAGCATCGCAGTCATTGCAAGATTATCAGATATTAAAAGGGAACAGGAAATGAAAGAGGGATTAGACCAGTAGGAACCTGTACAGTGTTATGGGTTAGGATAACCCTCGCAGGATCTACAACTGCTCGAGCTTCTAAGTTTGTCTCTGTTCGCTCTCATTCCACCTTCGTGTCAGGAGGCCTGGAAGATGACTTTTCATGAACTGCTTCTAAGTCCAGCGTCTTTAGATAAGGCTGGTGCTGTTCAGAAGGAATATGTTTTTGATTTTGAACAAGCAGCTGTTCTGGTAACTGCAAATGCTTTTGTACTAAAGGAGGAGACTGCGCCATTGTTGTTACTGGATCATTCCCAATCGACTTTGTCATAGAATTGCTTACTTTAGAAACAGCATTCTGCTCAGAGGAGTCACACAATTGTAAGTCCAATTCTTTCAGAGGAGAATTAACAGCAGTAGAACCAACTGCATCTATGCTTTCGGAATCACTATTCGCCTCAGTATTCGCCTCAGTACTCGCCTGAGGCACACCCTTACCCACACTAGCCGTTTGGGTGGTATTGGTGACAGACTGTGGATTGCGTGGTGTGCGTTCAGCCTGGGAATTATTCGATAAGTCATGATTTTGAGTAACACTACTACGAAATATTGGTTGCGCTTGATTGCCCTGCTTTTGGTGTAGCAGCAAATGTTGGTGGTTGGGTTGTGCAACTGCTGGTGTAACAGACATAGTAGAGGTGGACAAGACGTTACCTGGGACCACTGCTGAAACCTGGCCTTGGATGCCATTATCTGAATTTAATTGCATCTGTTGATGTTGTTCGGAAGAACGAGATGGAACACCAGGAACTGTTTTTGGCTGTTGTCGAGAAGCATTTGAAGACTGTGGAGGATTCAGTGTTTTAGTCTGCGGATGTGTGCTCACGGCTAGCAAGCCAGGCACAGCTTGAACTGCCTCCTCTACTTTTTCAGTACTCTGTATTCCTGGGGACATAGTAGAAGCATTCAAGTGCGAGGCATCAACAGAGATGCTCTGATGGATAATGTTTCCTCTTCCCATTCCCTTCGAGAGTTTATTCTGCTGCTGACCTTGAGTTGGTTGCCGCTGGTGTGGATGCTGTCTTCCAGACTGCTGGTGGAGCTGTCGCTGTCGCTGATTGTTTGGTCCAGATGCACCAGACTGAGGAACCCTACCCAGACCATGAACCGGCAACTGCTTTTTTTGAGGGTTCTGCTGTGCAGTTGCTGTCGTATCAGGAGAGGTTGACGACAAAGGCATCAATAATGGTTGAGACGAAGCAAGTGGTTGCGTTTGAAGACTGTTTTGTGGAGAAGAAGATGCTGGAGGAACTTGAAGCTGTGATTGTACATGTGGCGTCATAGCACCCGTTGCTGAAAA